GGGGGGGGGGGGGCACGGACAGAACTAAGAGTTCTGAGTTTTCCCCATCCCATCCCCAAGATTCCCAGATTTTCTTCTGGTCATAAGAAGTCCTTGAGCTCTGGCTTCAGCTTTTTGTTCCAGGTTGGGCCCCTCTCCTCCCCTTCCAGCCGACAAGTCCAGCATAGACCTTTCCTCCTCCTCGGCTTAGATTTTGTCACTGCCTCATCTGCCCTAGCCTTACCTAGCCACAGACACTATAACCTCAGGAAAAGGAAGGGCAGGCAGGCTGGAGGTGGGGCACTGGGTGATCAGACTGGGCTGTGAGGTTGCTGGGATACAGGCAGGGGCAATAAACTCAGGAGGCTCCCCCAAAGCCCCCCAGGTGCCACAAAAGAAGCTGGCCCAAGAGATGTCTGAGTACCCTCCCATTTCTCCAGACAGATGGTGTTTATCTAACTTAGGAGAGAGGGGGCCAGCCAGTAGGCCTGTGCACTTGGGCTATGTACTCTATTTGGGTAATGAGGCCTGATGTGCCCTGGGGTGGCAGTCCACCCCTCTCCCTACTCCAAAGCAAACACAGGAGCTGGGAGACCAAAGAGGAGAGGGGACCCAGTGACCCATGTACCTAAGGGGCTGTAAGAGTCAGACTGCCACCCACCCACCTCTTACCCCCAGGATGAGAGAGAGGCCCCTGGAGAGAGCAGGCCTAGTGTTCTGAAAGACCAAGACTAAGTCTTGAGGTCTCAGCCTTCTATGTGAGTAAGTGTTGGAGAAGGTGGGCTGGAAGGGACTGGTATACAACCCTGGCTTGTGGACCATGAGGAGGGAGGGATGAGCAGGGGTCTGAGACCCTGAACATTTTGACTTCCTAGGTCAGCTTCCTGGGGGTGGCAGACTTGACCTGAGAGTTAAGCTCCTCACCTGTACAGAGAGAGCCCTTTCATCTCGTGGATTTAATTGGCTGCTAGGGTTGGGAGTAGGGTCAGAGTGCTGCTTCCCCACTGCTCACCACGCTGTCGTCCTAGATGCACCCCTTTGGGTCCTGGTGGTATTATCTTGGCACACTGCTGAAAAGGGGCATACCTTCCGGCTCAGTCCATACTGCCATTCTAGGATTTGGGGCTAGGCAGACACCAGAAGGGCAATGAAAAGGCAGTGACTGGCTGCTTGGAGGCCACCTCTGGTGAAGAGGCTCTCTTTTCACCCAGACAAACCTTACCCATCCCCTTGATCTAAGGGAGCCAGCAAGACCAGTAAAGAAAAAGCCACAAGGCCTGAGTGAGTCTCTGCCATGTGACCTTGAGCATGTCCCTTTCCCTTCCCGATCCCCAGTTTCCTTCAGTAAGAAATGTATCTGAGAACCCACCCTAGCTGGTCTACAGGACAGTTGTCTATAAGGCCACTGAGTGCTGTTATGAGGATGAAACTGATAAACAGTTTCCAGCCCTGGCTGTAGTTCTTCTGGTAGTAGATTAACAAGCACTTCTCACCAAAGAACACAAGGTTCCCTAGTGGGGACCTGGGAGGGTATTTTAAAGACCTGACTTTCAGGGTAGGAATTTCAAGCAGGTTAGAGTGAGGGGTAGGATTTGAGAGGGTCCCTCAAATTGCCCACATAGATGAGTGCCTAGTGCATGTATAGAGCCAGCCCCTACAGAAGCCCCTTTCTCTACCCCCCCTGACCCAGCCCTCTCCCTCTGACAGTGGTAAGCTGGTGTCTCCCAAGTGGAAGAATTTCAAAGGCCTCAAGCTGCTCTGCCGAGACAAGATCCGTCTCAACAATGCCATCTGGAGAGCCTGGTATACCCAGTGTGAGTGGGCGCCATGGGCCTTCCCAGCAGAAGGGCTATGGGAGGGGGTGGAGGGTTGGGGGATGGCTACCCAGGAATCCCCAACTAGCACCAACAGAGTGCTTTGGGGGATACCAAGCCCCAGCACCAGCCCCCCTGAACAGCTTCTGACCCCCAGAGAGTCTTGGGGAATGTGTTTCTAATAGTGCTCTGCACTGTGAAGATGGGTACAACAAAGGGTCACATCTTGGAATTCTAAGGTGGACTGAGATTTGGGGAACAGTTCAAGGCTCATTCTGCATCCCATTAGTGTAGTCAGGTGCCTCAAACACCAGGTTAGAAAGAGGTGTTAGGTACTGTCTGGGCCAATTCCATTATTTTGCAAATGGGGAAACAGGATACTGCGTGGGTCTCTTCCAGTCTTTCTTTAAAGTCCTTACTGAACTGCCCCCAAGTGCTCCCCATGAAGATTTTGGGGGATAGGGCCCAGAGAGGCCATGTGGTAGAATGGAAGGGACTCCAGACTTAAACAGAGCTGGTTTCCCACCCTGTTTCTGCCCCTTGCTGGCTGTGTGACAGTAGGCAAGTTGTCTAACCTCTCTGAACCTATTTCCTCATCTAGAAAATGAGGCCAATAGTCCTACTTTTCATGGTTGGTGTGAGAACAATGGGTATGAATAGGCCTGGCACAAAGTGCTCAGTAAGTGATGGTTGAATCTGAGGTACCCTTGAGAAGGTCATGGTCGTTCATTTTGGGATACAAGACCTCCTCTCCTTCCCCTTGGCAGGGCAGCAGAGGCTGAGAGATTTCAGACTTGTTGGTCCTGTGTTGGGACCTTGTCCAGCTTAGTTAGGTCCTGCTGCAGGATCAAAGGCTATGCTGAGCTAGGAACACAGAGCCCAGGAGGGACTACACATAGTAGGTATTCTCTGTACTGGCCCCACTAGATTCCACCTAAGCAGAGAGAGGGAGTGTTTTTGGTTTTTATTCATCTATGTGTCCAGCACTTTCATAAGTCATCTTATTTGAGGCTTCCTAACAACCCCGAGAGATAGGTATTATTACTCCCATTTTATACATGAGTAAGTGACGCCCAGAGGACAAGTGACTTGTTCAGGGCCTCGGAGCATAAAAGGAACAGAGCTGTGGCTGGAAGTCCAGGGCTCTCCAACTCTGAGCCCAGTGCTCCTTTCATTGAACCCAGCTAATAGGCTTCCAGTCCTCACCTGAGAACGGGCCTGACCAAACCAGGAAGTTGATAGGCCAGGGGAGTCAGTGTCATTGTCTGTCTCCCCTTTTCTTCAATGCTGGATGGGATACAAACCTGGGGCCCTGATCCAGACACACAGACTGTGGTCTCCAGCTGCCGTACAAGTTGCTAGAAGGACCCCAGGTTCTGAGTCATACAGAGGTGGGTTTGAGTCAAGTTCTAGTATGCCCTCTCTATGTGAACTGTGCAAAGGCCCTCGCCTCCTCTAGCCGAAGCTTGCTCACCGGTAAGACAGGCGTAATAATAGTCCTACTGCTGAAGTCTGCTGTGAGTTTTCAGTGCAATCATATCTCAGCACCAGGCAGATACATACAAGGGCTCCCTGAGGGTGAGCCCTGGGATCTGTCACTACTATTGTGATAATAGCAAGGGCACAGGCAGCCAGAGAACAAATGTCAGGGCTCTTTCTCCTACCTGAACACCCAAGGTTGGAAGGTGGGCTTCAGAAAAGGGAGAGGAGTAGTGACTGCTGGAGGGCTGCCTGGCTCATCCCCAGGGCACCTGCCACCCCTCTGCAGGCTTCTGGCCTCCAGGACCTCCCTTTTCCCCCCCAAATCATCTCAGTTTCCTCTGAGCTCCCAGAGCACTGTGCCCCTTTCATAGGCAGACTCTCCACCTGGCATTAGTTCATGTTATGTGTGTGCTTTCCTTACCACTAAACTGTGAGTGCCCTGAGTCATCCCTGGATTCTGATCCAGGGTCTTATCCCAGCATAGGTGCAAGGGGCTAGGTTCCTGCATGAATGGATGAATTTCTCATTGTTAAATAAAGCCTGCCCCACCCCCAGGTCACTGCCCTTCTGTCCAGAGCACAGTGTCCCTGGGCGGGGGAGGGGAGAGTAGGCCAGGCTTGCTCAGCCCTGACTCTCTGGGGGCCCTGGGCAAACTTACTCTTTCCTGCTGCTCATTTCCTCATCTGGAAAGCCAGGGAGAGATGCTTGTTGAGACCCTTAACCGTCTGGGAGTCCACGCACCTAAAGCCTATCCTTTTGTTTTCTGTCCAAGCTGGTTTAGCAACCCTCCCCAATCTCACAGGGATCATTTTGGAGAATGTCCTTTAGGACAGAACTTTGTTGAAGGTCCCAAGAAATTTTGGGTGGTCCCCCTCCTCTGTGTCAGTTGTCCCAGAGGAACTTTGCTGAGGGCTTTGGCAGGATGGGCCCCCATAGACACCCCTGAGTCCTTTTTGTCAAGACTATCAGAAAAAGTCACTGCTGTGTGCCAAGCTCTGTGTCAGATGCAGGGATTCTAGGCTAAAGGGCAGGACTCCTGCTTACACTCCCAGCAGGGAGGCCAGCATGCAAAGAAATGGCCAAGGCAGGTGGAGATTGAGGCAGACATTACCGGGGATGAGAAAGGTGGGGGGTGGGGGTTCAGAGGAAGGAAGGCTTCCTGGAAGAGGAGCTCCACTGGGCTATCCTGGTGGGTGGGCAGATGAGCACAAGGCAGAGGGAAGAGAGGGCTTTCCTTGTAGAATAAAACTGGAAGGTGGGCTGTGTGGGGGGGGAGCTGTTTGGCTTCAAGGTGGGGCATATGAAGGAGACAGAAAGACAGGAGAAGCAGTGGGACTAGTCATGGGGGGCTGGGAAGCCAAGCTCGGGGGTGTGGACTTTATCATGGAGGTTTAGGGAGCCCTGGAGGGTTCAAGCCTGAACTGCATTTTAGGAAGAATTGACCTGGCCACAGCAGGAAGTGGGCTGGTGAGTGTGAGACTGGAGTCAGAGAGGTCAGTGAGAAAGAACACCAGACCAGGGGGTGACAGTGAGAGTATGGAGGGGAGGGGACACTGGAAGAAATGTCACACATCCTTGGAATTGAGATGGTTAGTCCATGGATTAGACAGGAATCTGGGATTCAGTGGGGTTTTTGTGACTGGGAGGCAGTGCTGGCAGTCCAGAGGAGACACAGGCTGGGGAGGGAATTTCCCAGACATCTGAGAGGGACAAGCTTTGGGACATCCTAGTGGAGGGTCCCTAGGCAACTGGGAAATGGGTCTGAAGCTGGAAAGGGGCAGGAGAGTGGTTGAGAGGTAGGCATGGGCAGATGCTGAGTACAGGAAGTGAAGATGAGGTTGGGGGGTGCAGAAGTGGAGGTGGCAAGTGACAGTCCTTCTAGAGTTTGGAGGGAAAGCAATGGGGTGAAGGGGAAAACACAAGGGTTAGCTTGCTGGGCAGCAAAGGGAAGGAAAAGGTTTGGGAGGTAAAGGAGAACCTGTAATGTGTTTATAGGCAAAAAGGAAAGGGCCTGGAGAGAGACCAGGGTTGGAGACAGGGAAGGGAGTGGAGGAGGTAAAAAAAAAAAAAAGGCTCATCAGGTAGGTGGCCTGAGGTGAGCAAGGGGTGGTTCTCTGAGATCAGAGTGGGCAGTGCCAAGGAGCCTGAGGCAGGGTACCAAGAGCTCTGGGCCCTTGGCTTGCCAATCTGACCAGGATGTTCTTGGGGCAGCTCCCTCCCCGTGGCCCCAATCCCATTCAGCAATCATTGCTTCCACACCTACTAGGCTGGGTTACTTTCACCGGGTTGCACAGAAGAATGAGATTTGGTAGCGCTAGAGAAGAAGGCAAGAAGGCTTCCTAGAGGAGGTGGCATTTAATCTGAGCATCGAAGGCCAGGCAGGATTCCTAAGTGTGGCACTTGAGTCCTTTTCCTCTTGGGATGAAAGATGAGGGAGCTGGGTACCCCTGACCTGGCCCACTTCTTTCAGATGTAGAGAGGAGGAAGAGCCCCGTGTGTGGATTCGTGACCCCCCTGCAGGGGTCTGAGGCTGACGAACACCGGAAACCAGAGGTAGGTGAGACTTAGGGGACCACAGTCCACCTGCCCCCCCACCAAACCGGGTCCCTCCTTCCAGTCCCTCCCCGCACTGGGCGGGAGGGGGGAGCCCATGTGGGGGTTGGATGAGGGCTGAAGTCGGTGCTACCCCTCCCACTGAGCCCCCTCACGACCCACCCCAGGCTGTCGTCCTAGAGGGAAATTACTGGAAGCGGCGCATCGAGGTGGTGATGCGCGAGTACCACAAGTGGCGCATCTATTACAAGAAACGGGTGAGCGGGGGCCCCGGGGGGGAGCCCCAGAGTTTTCCCCTGGGGGTGCTGGTCACTGCTCTTGGAACGGTCCTAAGAGGCTCCCCTGCCTCCGACCCCGCCCTCCTTTAAGACCCAGGCTGACAGCGCCACCGTGTGGTCGTAGGGTCTCGCAGTCTACTTACTTTCCCGGGCAGAGGAGCTCCTGAAGGGAAGTGGGGATCTCTCTAATTTGGGGGAGCTTGTGAGTAGGGGCGGCCTTGACGGGGAGTGATGGAGGGTCAAGGAATCCAGTGTCTACGTTTGTGTGTTCCTGCAGCTCCGTAAGACCAGCAGGGAAGGGGATCTCCTGGCCCCAAAGCAGGTGGGTGCTCCCTAGACCCAGAGAATTGACAGCTTCCCTCTGGGTGGGTGAGGCAGCGGCGAGGGGGGGAGGTGTGAGGGAAGTGGGCATGGCCCCTGTCCTCTGGTTAACTGAGCCCTTCTCACCTTGGAGGAGTGGCGGGAAAACCCTAAGCCTTCTGGTTGACTAAGAGGTAGGGAGGCACGCGGGTGGGGTGGGGAATAAAGCATGCTAAAAACTAGGGTCCCTGGCAGGAAAAAGTATAGGGGACAGGCCTCAGCAGGCCTCCTGATCTAGCTCCTGTGGGTAGTTGTTAGAGGCCAATGGGATGGCCCTAATCTTCCAGGCAGCGAACTGGGTCCACCAGAGAGAGGTGAGGAGGGACATGCAGAGAAGCCCTGTGGCTGGCTGGCTGACTGCTCCATCCTGCAGGCATGGGTGTCGTGTAAGGGCCAGGGGAAGTGGGAGATGCCTGTGTCCCCAGTCTGGGGAGGATTAGGAGCAATGGAGCCCTCAGGCAGCTACTGCCAGCTCTGCCTCCCTAGGTGGAAGGGTGTTGGCAGCCATCAGAGCGATGGTGCGAGCAGCTCTTCTCCAGCGTGGTGCCTGTGCTGCTGGGGGGCCCAGAGGAGGAGTCTGGTGGGCGGCAGCTTCTGGACCTCGATTGCTTCTTGTCCGACATCTCCGACACGCTCTTCACCATGACTCAACCCAGCCCCACACCCCTGCAGCTGCCCCCCGAGGATGGTGAGGGCCTATACCCAGGAAAGGAAGCCTGTGAGAATCCAGGCAGCCAAGGGAGGATGGCTGGGGACAGGTGCCCCCATTCCACCCTTCCTGCTGCTCCTGACATCACCACTGCCCCCTCCAGCCTATGTTGGCAACGCTGACATGATCCAGCCAGAACTGACACCTCTGCAGCCCAGCCTGGATGACTTTATGGAGATCTCAGGTGGGCCAGGCCCCTCCCCTGGGATAGAAGGGCAGGGTCAGTGCAAGGAGAGCCGCAGGTTGACCTCAGGCCAGTCCCATGCCCCTCTGGGAGGGCAGATGGTCTGAGTGACTTCTGAGGAATTTTCTTGGTGTCCCTTTGTCTGATTTTGGGATGAAGCTGGTGTGGCCTCAAGTGAGAGCAGGGCCAGACCCAGTACCTAGATAGGGAACAGGGCACTAGGGTCATTGAAGCTTCAGACTCTGGGGGTTCCCAGGAAAGCAGTGGGTGCTAGGACTCTGAAGGGAGAGAGAGTCTGTGATTTGTTTGGGTCTATTTATTTACATAATTTATTTTAAAAAACTATTAAAGAACGTTTCAAACTTACACACAGAGAATTCAATGAACCTTCATGTAACCTTTATTAGCTCTTGGCCAGTCTTATTTTATCTAGACCTCACCCACTTCTCCCCTCATGTTGTTTTTAAGACAATCCCAGGAATTATATCTGGTAGAGCATTTTTTTAAAAGTAGTATGTTTCCCTGTTTCCCTTTCCTGACCCCCAGGGCTACCAGATCACAGGAGTATGTCCTTCCAAAGATGCTCAGGGTGTATAAAATGAGCATATGTGGACAAGTGTCTGTTTTTGTTTCTACAGTAGACTCTTCCCCACATTGCTTTCTTCACTTAGTTGTAGATCTTGGAGACTGCCCCTGATAGTCATACATTTAGGGGACTTCATAGCCATTCTAGTGATCAAGTAGACATCAGGGCTCAAACTATCTCAGCTAAGGCCTAGGGTGCACAAAGGGGGCTCCTGGGATAAAAGGCTTAGTTTCGATGACCCCTTCACTCCTTCCCCACAGGGTCCTGGGCCTGTCAGTCAAGAGGTGGAGGCCTATAGGGCGGGGACTAGGGAATGAGGAACCACCCCCACCCCTGCTTCAGCCCTGGACAGGGGTGGGGGCTGAGGGGGCAGAAGTGTTGATGGCAGTGCCTTGGGAGCAGACCAGCCTGGGAGGGCAGCGGCCCTGTCTGGGCACACAGACCCTTGCTACAGGTAGGAGCTCAACTGCCCCCACCTTGGGATCTGGGCAAAAACGGGCTAGGAAGTGACTTCTCTCAACCAAGGGTGGCTTCTGTGGTAGGGGGGGTGAGTATGGGCAACCAATTATAGGGAATGTCATGCAGAAGAGGTGACTGGTGTGGCCCCTTCTAGTGCTCCATGCACTTGGAAGGCAGGGGGCACTGGGGTTACCTGGGCTGCAGCTGTGATTGTCCCCAAGAGCTCCTCACTTGAAAGGAAACCCAGTGAGGGGGCTGCTGAGGGGAGGGTTCGGTGAGGAATAAAGGACTTGGTGAGGGGTACTCAAAGAAGGAGAGGGAACGTGGGTGAGAGAAGGGCTAAGGGAGAGGATGGTAGGTCAGTGGGGGGAACAGAGGCTAGGAACTCAGCGGGTGGCTAGGGCTAGGAAGCAGCTTCTTTCAAGGCTGAGTGGGGGGACATGCCCACAATCTCAGATAAGAGGATGGTGGTGACTCAGTGATTATCTGGGCTCAAAGCTCCGTGAGGCCTGCCAAGCCCTGGGGAGAGAGCAACAGCAATGAGCAGGGAGTTGCTCTGTGGCCAGGCCCAGGACGAGACTGATTCTAGAGCCAAGGCTTCAACCGGCCTAGTGAAGAGACCCATGGTCCCTGGGGGCCAGGGAATGGAAGACCATTGACTACTCACCCTCTGCCACCCAGGCCCTTCATTAAAAGGAGGCAGCAGGGCAGCAAGAATATCCCTTATGACTGTGTGGCTGAGAAAACACACACACACACACACACACACACACACACAGGACAGATATGCACATGTCAAGCACCTCACATCAGGGTAGGTGCACACAGACTTAGACAGAGCTACAGACAGTGGGACAGACAGGGAGGGAAACAGACAGATGCTGCATGATACCACACACTGACACACAGAGCCAGCTGCCCTGTGACTTGTAGGCCCCAGTCTCATATAAGATGTACAAACAGGTTTGACCCCTGTCAGGCTCAGGGTTTGGTGTGGTCTTCTCTGTCCCACTCCTGAGTCTCCTTCAAGGGAGTCTGTGGGGAGAGGCCTTACCAGCTCCCTTGGCTGGGGGTCTGGGGCCCATCCAAGGCCGGCGGAGTTGGGTCTGACAAGACTAGGAGGCCTTGGGAGCTGGTGCAGACTGAAAGCTGGTCAGGGTCAGAGAAAGGTGCCCGGAAGGGAGCGGGTGGACGGGCGGCGCCCAGGCCCGGGATGTGGTTAGGCCACAGGCAGCTGCTTCCCAAAACCAGAATAGCCCAAGGCTTACACAATCTGCACCTCAAACAATCTGGTTGCCCCCACCACCAGCTCTTCCCAGCTTTCCAGAACCCCCTCACTCTAGCCCACACTCTGAGTCCATCCTCTGACCCCTGCTATCACCCCCTTAGCTCCTTCACCCCACTTATGAATTCTACCATTGAGGTCCCACTTGTTCACCTTCCAGCAAACATTGTCCCAGACCTACTGACCTCCTGACCCTTCTTACCCCTAACTCACCCTGAGGCTCCTCCCTTGGACCTCACCCCTTTCCCTTCCTGACATAATTTATTATCCTCCCCCACTTCAGGGCTGATAAAAGGAGCAGACAAGGGGAGGGTGCAGGCCTGGGGATGGGGAAGGGGGGCCTCATGAGCCAAGTGTGGAACTTGGTGGGAGGGCTACTTCTGGGGTCCTGCTCACACCCCTACACAGTCCCCTGCTGTCTCCCACTAAGGCCCATCCACCCAAGCCTATGTTGCTGCTTCCCCTGAGTGAGACAGAAACTCTCCCAGTTTCACAATCTTCTGTGGAAGCCCCCCCCCCC